TAACCTTTATTCTATCTTACTGCGAAAGTCAATCTATTGTTTATTCTGTATCTTTACAAATGACTTCTCTCTAGGTATATGGTAGTCTAGTTCGACGTGATCATCGATTATTTTTTGAAGCATTTCGTGTAATTTGGCTTTATTCTGTCGGAATAAATACTCCACTTGCATTTATTCAGTAACAAAATGGACTTTTGTTACTTTTTCTCAAAACATTAAAACTCTCTTTTCTTTGCACTTTACCTTTCAAAAAGTAGAGTATTTAGTTTTCCTTTCAGTCAAGGTTTTTATTTTTCTTCTTTTATCATTCAAATAAAAGAAGAAGAACTTTATTTTCAATTATCATATTATTTAGTACGAATCGATTTTCTTTAACTTAATTTAAGTTAGTCCGTTTTCATTTCGTCTGCGAATTTCTTTTACTCCTCGTCTTGTTGAAAACATCGACTTCGATTTAGTTCATTCAACATCATGACATTCAATGAATATTTTGACATTGTAAACATGAGTTCCTATTTTGATTGTGATATAATAATAACACTCTGGGATTTACTTTGTGCAGGCTCGAAGAGAAGGGCCTACGTGGGCAGTGGAGGAATTTGTAGTAGCACGTTAGCCCTCTATAACTTGCTATAACAAAAAAAGACGACTGATGATGATGATTCCTCTTATCGTAAAATGAGAGAACGAGAAGAAGAAGAAGAAGTAGAAGAAGTTTAGAATTTAAGTTTAGAATTTTTGAAGAAGAAGAAAAGCTGATATATTTAATGAAATCTCGACACGAAGATAATGTGTCTCCACATTTCGCGTCACTATGAAACAAAATAATAATAAAAATCAATTATTAACTGATTTCATTCTCTCTATATAAAGAGCGCACAGAAGAAGTTTCTGAAAGTTTTCAAGCGACAGAAAATAAAATATGTAACGGCAAGCGATTCTTTACAAGTACCTCCCTTGCCCCACGAGATTCGTCCTCGAATCTTGAGATAAGAGCATCATTTTTGCTGGATAGTGTAAAATTTAAATATATCAATTAGAGATTTACGCAAGAAGTTTCTGATGCTCAATTTTCGGTGTTTTAATAAAAGAAAAGAACTGGCCGCGATTTTCTCCAAGTCTGAATATTAGAAGAATATTTCGATAAATTTGTTTCATTCAAAAGTTTGACTGCTATCACTCTCAAAAGTCGTAACTCTTTGAAAAATGGCTGCATCCTTCTCAACTACATCATCAACAACAAATTATCTCAACAAGTGAATATGATAATATTGATGAAGATGGTGGAGATCACTTAGATGCGCAAAGAAACATCTGTGCAAGGTGAAGTTTAGTTGAAAAATTAAGTAATATCTTTAACGATGACACGCGGGTCGGTCAACAGGATAATAGTTGCATAGTTGTCATCAAACCCTCGTCTGATTCCATGTATAACAGGCAATTGACTGCATTAACTATGCAACTTTTATCCTGTTGACCGAAGAAACGTTTAATCCGGTTGAAGAAGAAGAAAAGCTGATATATTTAATGAGATCTCGACACGAAGATAATGTGTCTCCACATTTCGCGTCACTATGAAACAAAATAATAATAAAAATCAATGAGTAACTGATTTCATTCTCTCTATATAAAGAGCGCACAGAAGAAGTTTCTGAAAGTTTTCAAGCGACAGAAAATAAAATATGTAAACGGCAAGCGGCCTTTACAAGTACCTACCTTCCCATGTCGCGCATTTGTTGAGAATACTGCCGGTTACCGACGATTCAACAAAATACCACCGGTTGGACCGAACCGCTCGGTATACTCTGCGGTTTAGCGACGGTTTTTTCTTCTATCGGCGGTTACCGCACGGTAGTTTTCAGACCGCAGTACAAGAAAAAACCGTTTTGACACAATCACCTTTTTGTTTTGCGGTTGTCAGTCTATATAAGAAATGCAGAAAAGTCAAAAAACTGATTTTCTTCAGATTAAACTTCCTCTTTCAGATTACAGAGACTCTTCGAAGTTTGCACTTTGACTTGAGTCAAGTTTTTCCCGACTGGAAACCTTATTGCGCTGCATGCGCACGGTAAAAAAAGAAAGCTGAGAACTAGATTCGAACTCCTGTACTGTTTGCTCACACTGATAAATACCGGTTGATACTGCCGGCACAACCGACCGGTATACCGCGCGGTTCGGTAGACCGTGCGATAGTTTCACATGTCCATTAGGTTAACCTCCCATTATACTCGGCGGTGACCGCTGCGGTAACCGACGGTATTTTAGCGGTTCTGATCAGAGGATAAAACAGGCCAACTTCATGTAGGCCTGGCCTGCCCATGACAGGCTATCGACTTTCACAGCCTGCCTGTGCCTGCCATTCATTTTTACTGGCCTGGCCTGCCTGCCTGTGATTTTGCTCGGCCTGTCTGACCTGCCTGTCGAAGCCTGTCTACACTTTTATATACCAATAACATATAATAATCAAACAAAATTGTGAAAGAGACATTAGAAATTGATAAGAAAGTTATGTGAATAGAAGTGAAATGACTAGATATAACATTTATTAATTGAACATATTATGCTAAACATAGTTCTCTGCTTAAACATAATATGTTTAAGTAGAGAACAAGTGTAGAAAAAATACTATTATTTAGAAAAATAGTCTGGTTTTGATTCAAGTAGAGTTTGTATCGATCTGACGAAAAGAATGTCGTTGACAGTATCTGGATCAAGCGAAGAACGACGTTGACTGATTGTTAAACCAGCAGATGAGAATTGTCTCTCTACGCCAGCCGTATATCTATTCGGCCATATATCTATCCGATCAATATGAAGTAAATTATTCTTCGTCACTAGCGACACACACTTCTGAATTTATTGATCAACAACTATCAACAACTACATTTTCTGATCAACGATAAAAGTTTTGATGAAAATTAACAAAAGCATGATAGACAGGCGGCCTGTGTATTTTGCTGAGCCTGCCTGGCCTGCCTGGTCTGTGCCAGGTTTGAAAATTGCGGCCTGTGCCTGTCCCAGGCAGGCAGACACAGGCAGGCAGGCAGGCCTAATGGCCTGTTTTATCCTCTGGTGTCTAGTGAAAATAGCCTTGGCTCATGGTAAGTGATCATTAAGAAAAAACTTGGACACATTACTTAACCCCTGTGTATACACACAAGTTATTCGCGGGCAGACAAACAGACACGGCAAGACATAATACGAGAGTGATTAGAAATAAGAATTTAAGAATTGGGAATGTGCCTCATTTGTCTCTTGCCTTGCAAGAACAACGGTGGTCGTCACAACTGGCGTAGTACTTGTTTGCTGCTGCTTGTTGAGAATGTTCTTCAGAATGTAATGTGAACAAGAAAGATAAGTATTCTGTTCTCTAGAAATAATTTAACATTGGCGATTCCTTTATAGTCAAGGGATAAGTGAATCAGAATGATGAACGCTACTTGTGTATATATATATATATATATATGTTGAAGGGGAAATTAGAATTTAGGGCAATTTAGAATTCCTCTAGGGGAAATTGGAATTCTAATCTCCCCTAGCGCAAATTAGAATAGTACTTTTTCTCTAACATTTTTCAAGAAAAATGACAGATTCCTAGGGAAATTCTAAATTCTCCTAGAGTGAAACAAATCTACTACTATTCTAGTTCCTCTTAGAGGAAACTGGAATACATGGTACGATAGCATCTTTTTTCTATCCTAGGAGAACAATTCATACACATAACCGTGGTGTTCAGGACTTATTAGATTTAACAAAATGTGATTTTGCCGATGTACGTGCTATCGATCCCACCGCGTTACCAACGATTACATTCATCCAAGCATGCAAAGAATATGTCTCATGTGGGGTAAATAATATTGCAGAAGCATGTTAGTGTAATGGTAAATGTGCCACAAAAGCTTGTTCATGCAAAGCAAAAGGTGTCAAATATTTTGTACGAAATGTCATGCGGGAAAAAAACATTCGTGTTCAAACATGTTATAGCTGTGGAAATAATATAAAAAAATAATATAATTGAAATATTATTGAAATGTAAAAATGACACGATGACTGCCTTTACCGTTGTTGTAAACAACGTTATGTTATATC